GCTTTGAAGCATGGAACTGATGGCCATATAAATTAGTTTGGGTGACAATGTTCCCCAATACATCATTACCCAGATACACCTTCATAAACTGTTGGGGGCTAAATCCTGCAACATCCACATTGATGCCAGGATTTGCGGTGAAGGCGCTACCCACTCCTCAGCAGCACTGCCAGCTGGAGCAGCACATCTACTTCTGGCAGGGGGCCTAGCAGCCACAGATACAGCACTACTGTATCTAGTGATGTATCTGAGAACCTGAAAGGATCAAAATCAGGGTCGGAGTCAGACTCTAACGCAAGGATGGCATACACCTCCTCAGCGCTATACAACCTCCGTGACCTCTGTAATATGATCACAATCACTTTACTTAGTGATCTGTCACAAAAAAATCATAAAAAGATTAATACATTTATTTTATTCATTTTTTTATTGATTTTTTTTAATGATTCCTCTTCATTATATAAAAATATTTATATAATAAATCTATACATTTTTACTCAGAAATTTGTCATATTTTTTTTAATCCTAATAAAAGTTAGGTTTTAACTGCTGGGTTACTCTGGTACATATAGGGGTTTTCCATATCTTTTTCCCTATTCCTCTCTTCTTGTTTAAATTGTTAACCATAGGGGTTACACCCATTCCTTAAAATAAGTAACCTTACACTCTCTCTCTTAAGTCTTCACTGAGTGCCTCGACCCCTCGAGGTACTCAGCACACAGGCAGGGCTTCGGAAGCCTGTCTGATGGCTTCTTATGCTCTGTTACACTGCCGGACGCCACGTGGGGCACTGCGGAAGTGTTCGCTCCTGTGGAGCGATTACTCGGTGGTCCGGTATTCAGGAGAGGTATTGTAGGATGCCTTGACATCGAGGAATTGCTGCAATACCCATAAAGCTTCCATCGCATATATTTGTTGCGGACGTGCTAGGTACGTCTGCAGTCCTTAAGGACTGTTTTTGGCCGGACATACCTTGTACATCCGCGGTCCTTAAGGGGTTAACACTGCCATAGTGTCTTAGCTGAGATCATTCCATAGGGAAGCGTTGAGGAGCTAGTGTGCATGCGTGCCAGTCTCGTGCTGCACCAATCGACATCTCCTCACAGAGATGCATTTACTCAGTGCAACTCTAAGGGTAGTGTTTAGTGTCTTCAAAAGATGCCGAATGTTGGCCCTGCAAATATTGCAAATATCAGACCACAACAGGAAGCAACTCTAATGGCTGTCAGCTTAGGAAGCAAAGTAAACATTGCCTTTTCTCTGAATTTACATTACTGAGACTAAGATGATCCTTTTAAATGTATCACCATCTTTGCAAACAGATTTGAAAAAGTATACACTTTCTTTGTAACAAGCATTATAAACAACTTAGAAGATCAAATGTAGACTTTTGTTTACATTTGAACTGCAATTCGTCCAAATTTGAGCCAATTGGGTGTGAATTAAAAACTAAATGGTGAAAAAATGCACCTATCAGTGTACTGCAATGTGTATACATAATATTTATATCATGTATAAATTTTACTGTACAATGATTGGCCCATGTTTACTCCCTTTGGTTCGTATGATTTGTCTTCTGAATCTGTTTTTACAATCAAAATTCAGACAAGTTAAACTGCCATATGGCTGGAGTTCAGCTGTCTCGATAATAATGTTTTTTGATTAAATGGTCTGACCAAACCAATTTTGTTTTGTTATGTACAAGTCTAGTCAGAGGTATTTGACTATAAAAATTATAACGCAGACCTCTCTTGGCTTAGCAGATGATTGTGGACAGTGAATTTTCTTAGTTAAGAACAAATCTTATGGCATTACCCATCTCTTCAACTTTCAAGATAATACCGAAACCTGAGGTTTGTTTTTTTCTTTTTCTTTTTTTTTTGAGAAACATTTGCTTGAAGGAAAATTATCTGTCAAATAAAGTTAAGAAAAAAAATACTTCTACTTTCAAATAGTAAAATGTGTGACTGTTAATATGTCTTTCTTTATATCGATCTCTCTGAGGCACTTCTTTCTTACAATTTCTTAAAATATGTTTTTTTCTGAGTCAAATTTTTCTATCCTCATTGTTTTAACTGACCGGCAATTCCCCATTTAATGTAGAGTACTAAAAAGTAGCATTTTGTTTAGTTTCATAATGTAAAATAATCTTTTTCAAGTCATTTTTTTCCCTGATGCACAAACTGTTGATACATTTTGGCAAGCCGTGCCGTGAGAACTTTGTTAAACACTAATGTACGACTGAAAATAAAGCAGTTATACCGCTGTGATAATGCGTGTTGCATTACAAATCAATGTCAGATCATTTACGCTTGTATATAATATACATATACAGGTGTAGCCTTATTTATTGCATCATAATATTGCATTTATTGCAACATTTGTGTTTTAAGTGAACAACTGATGATTTATTTTTTTAAATTAAAAATATTAATAACTGAGGACAGAAAGAAAGTATTGTATTGTTTTTATATCATTAGCTGTGTGTGATTTAATAAATCAAGTGTGTACTGTCTACATTCTAGATAGGTTTTAAGATCATCACATTTATGGTAAGATAGTTTTTCGTTCTCTCCGTTTGGGTTGGTAACCAAATATATGAATTAGAATAGAATAGGAATAGAAATTACAGCACCATATACATTGTTCAATTTGCAGAAATGTGTCTGATGCACAGAAAATAATATTTTTCAAGCCAAATATGGGAGTGATTAGTATATCTCGTAGAAAAAAAAATGAATGAACCAAGTGAATCCCACTTTTCTGGGAGCCAGTATTACATGGTGTCAGGGAAAATATATTGAGCTGGTGATATATAAAAAACATGATTAAGTGAACGAAAAAAGTACATAGAGTTAAAATCCAAAAAGGGTCAACGTGTGTGAAAAAAACTCACCCTAAACATCCAAAATATACCAATTGTTCTTATAGTAGTAATATCTCAAAATTCTCAATCAGAGTTTAATAAAATGTAAAGATTTTATATAGTTAAAAATAATACAATATTATGATAAATTAAATTCTCAATAAAAATGTCCTTAGTGTTAATCAGTCCAAGTGATAATCAGTTGGAGTTTTATGCAGCTTGTTTATACTAAGAATATCCTTCACTTCTGTAATGACAATAGAGTGGTATAAGTTCACAAAAAAATTGTAACCAGAAACTGTCAGTGTGTAGTGTTTATTAGTATCCTCAATAAAACCATCAAGTGACAGGCTTCTCAAAAAATGTGTACCTATAAACTGGTACCATTAGTATAAAAGATTCAAATAGCAATCCACTGTGCTCGTTGGAACCCTCTAGTTAAGCTTTCTTCTGGGGCTGTATTTAGCCGTACACTCAAACTGACTGATGATCACAGAGTATGAGGTCTGTAGAGGTTCAAGAGGCGGTGTAATGGCGATCGTTCAAGTTCCTAGTCTTCTGCGCATTTCATAATTAGGCACCCACTTCATCAGGGAGATTGAACAATGACTTATAACTACATTTTATAAATACATTATAAAACACTTATTTGATATTCCCCTAAATGTAAAAGTACTCAAAAACTACTGGTTATTAGTACAGTTCTAAAATTACTGTTTTAAAATACTAGATTAATTACTTACTAAACATACAAAGTTCTACTTGTAACACTTTTAAAAAGTGATCTTAATTCAAAATAAAATTATCTGTAAAAAAAAATGTATACAGGACTAAACAAATGATAGATAGATAGATAGATAGATAGATTGATAGATAGATGTAAAATTAATATATAAAAGGATAACAAAAGTAAATACATAGTAAATACAGAACTTGAAAAAAGTAGTAGAAAGACTGATAAAGCAGTCTTTTATTGCTGCTGAATAAAATGTCATACATTTAAAAAGAACAGGTCACAAAAAAGCAACAGATTATAAATTATAAATGTATTTATTTACTTATTTACGATATCATATTTACGCGATTATAACAAAATCTGAGATTTTCTGTCTTATTGGACAGGAAGTTGAGAATTTTTTTTAAGTTACTGCTTAGTAAATGTAAAGTATTTAGTATAAATAACACGTAAATGCATAAACTGTTTTATTGCTTTACTATTGCTACTGAATAGATTCACTCAGAAAAAGAAAAAAGTAGCATATCATATTTTGTTTTCCTTTATTTTTCATTTATGAATGCATTTTGTAATAGCCCCTGAAGCACACAATTATTTTTTTTCGGTTTCCTTAATTTTCAGATTATATGTACATTTGTCCACTACTTTGTATATAATAATGATATATTGTTTATTGTGAGGAGCCCCATAAGAGTTTTGGCTTTGTAAAGGATAGCCTTATCTTAAAGAACTTTCTATACACTAATGGATACAGGTTTCTCTTAGTTTGTACACTAGGGTTGAAACCAGCATCAAAATGTCACGGAATTGGGCTGACCAACTTTTATAGACAATGTTGGTTGAAAATGGAGTAGAGTAAGGCATTCATATATGTTATGATTGTCTTTAAAACATAAGAAATGAACGAGATAAAGAAGTCTAAACTGAAATAACTGATTAACCAACAGAAATGTTACATTTCTAGGAACCATAATATCTATCTGGATCTAAATATCGTCTTCTCTTACCATGAAATAGAGATGGATTAGACTTGTGCACAGAAAGAAAATTTGTTTCAGCTGAGCCACTTTTTTCACGACGACCAAATTTCAACCATATGTCGGTTTGGCTTGGCAGAATTTCACTAACACAAAACTCATCTATGAAATGAATCTCAGAAATCGCAAAAATTGGCTAATCAGTATACTGTAAAATATATACTTCATTTAAATTGTATTGATATATTTTGCAGTACAGTTATGGGAATATTTTACCATCCCTTGGTTCAAAGATCCAGTGACAAAATGTAACCAAGAGAGGAAAAAACAAGAGTAGCAGTAAAAAAAAATAATCTATATTTATAGATGTTATATATATATATATAATATGGACAGAGCACAGTGTATTCTCACTGCGGAGTGTGAGTGGGACAGAGCACCATGTATTCTCCCAGTGGAGTGTGAGTGGGGCAGAGCACAGTGTATTCTCACTGCGGAATGTGAGTGGGACAGAGCACCATGTATTCTCCCAGTGGAGTGTGAGTGGGACAGAGCACAGTGTATTCTCACTGCGGAATGTGAGTGGGACAGAGCACCATGTATTCTCACTGCGGAATGTGAGTGGGACAGAGCACAGTGTATTCTCACTGCAGAATGTGAGTGGGACAGAGCACAGTGTATTCTCACTGCGGAATGTGAGTGGGACAGAGCACAGTGTATTCTCACTGCGGAGTGTGAGTGGGACAGAGCACCATGTATTCTCACTGCGGAATGTGAGTGGGACAGAGCACAGTGTATTCTCACTGCGGAATGTGAGTGGGACAGAGCACAGTGTATTCTCCCAGCGGAGTGTGAGTGGGACAGAGCACAGTGTATTCTCACTGCGGAATGTGAGTGGGACAGAGCACAGTGTATTCTCACTGCGGAATGTGAGTGGGACAGAGCACAGTGTATTCTCACTGTGGAATGTGAGTGGGACAGAGCACAGTGTATTCTCACTGCAGAATGTGAGTGGGACAGAGCACAGTGTATTCTCACTGCGGAATGTGAGTGGGACAGAGCACAGTGTATTCTCACTGCGGAATGTGAGTGGGACAGAGCACAGTGTATTCTCACTGTGGAATGTGAGTGGGACAGAGCACAGTGTATTCTCACTGCAGAATGTGAGTGGGACAGAGCACAGTGTATTCTCCCAGTGGAGTGTGAGTGGGACAGAGCACAGTGTATTCTCACTGCGGAATGTGAGTGGGACAGAGCACAGTGTATTCTCACTGCGGAATGTGAGTGGGACAGAGCACAGTGTATTCTCACTGTGGAATGTGAGTGGGACAGAGCACAGTGTATTCTCACTGCAGAATGTGAGTGGGACAGAGCACAGTGTATTCTCAGTGCAGAATGTGAGTGGGACAGAGCACAGTGTATTCTCACTGCGGAATGTGAGTGGGACAGAGCACATTGTATTCTCACTGCGGAATGTGAGTGGGACAGAGCACAGTGTATTCTCACTGTGGAATGTGAGTGGGACAGAGCACAGTGTATTCTCCCAGTGGAGTGTGAGTGGGACAGAGCACAGTGTATTCTCACTGCGGAATGTGAGTGGGACAGAGCACAGTGTATTCTCACTGCGGAATGTGAGTGGGACAGAGCACAGTGTATTCTCACTGTGGAATGTGAGTGGGACAGAGCACAGTGTATTCTCACTGCAGAATGTGAGTGGGACAGAGCACAGTGTATTCTCCCAGTGGAGTGTGAGTGGGACAGAGCACAGTGTATTCTCACTGCGGAATGTGAGTGGGACAGAGCACAGTGTATTCTCACTGCGGAATGTGAGTGGGACAGAGCACAGTGTATTCTCACTGTGGAATGTGAGTGGGACAGAGCACAGTGTATTCTCACTGCGGAATGTGAGTGGGACAGAGCACAGTGTATTCTCACTGCGGAATGTGAGTGGGACAGAGCACAGTGTATTCTCACTGTGGAGTGTGAGTGCTCACTGAACGGAGTGTGTCTCCAGGCAGGAACAATTTGAGTTTGAGGAAGTGGCCATTTATTTATCCGAGGACAAGTGGGACTGTTTAAATCAAGAATACAAGAAGCTGTACAGGCATCTAATGAGAACTATCAGACACTCATCTCTCTAGATTCATTTATTTATTTATTATCAGACCCTCTGCTCTCTGGGAAAAGTTTGAGTTTGAGAAAGTGGCCGTTTGATTCTCTGCAAAGGAGTGGGACTGTCTAAATCAAGAAGAGAAGAAGCTTTACAAGGATCTAATGAGAATTACCAGGCACTCATCTCTCTAGATTCATTTATTTATTTTTTACTGGTATTTACAAAATGCCAACAGATTCCGCAGCGCTGTACAATTAGTGGAGAACGTACAATATACACAGACAAATTCAAGAGGTAGAGAGAGCCCTGCCCGTAAGCTGATATCTAGCCATTGGAGCTCTTTTATACAAAGTGCTTAGCTAGATGGCCTGTGAGCTTACAATCTAAAGGATACAATGGGGATTGGAGACAAGAGGTAGCAGGGGACATTTGGAGGTGATGGCTAAAAGAGTTAACAGAGAAGCAGCTATTGGTAAAATAAAAAATGGAATGAAGAGGTAATTGAGTGAGAATCTCAAACAGCTGGAGGTACATGCTATATATTGAGGGGGAACCTGGGTGGGCGGGAAGTGGTGAGAAAAAATGCAGAGCTTCACTGAGTTTGAGTGTTAGATGAAGAACAGAGATGGAGATATAACAGTTATATGAAAGTATTTACAGCTTGTAGGAGAATAGGAAGGATAGGAGGATAGAGTAGCCATGCGTTATATACTATTGAAAAGTTTAGCAACCAAATTCTATCACCCAAAATATTAATAACTGTGTTCATGAAATATTAAATGACAATAGTACAATCTGCATGCACAGAAAATTACAGTGGCAAACTGCAGGTATAAATGGTAACAATTCTAAAGTAACACATGATTATATGGTAGCAATCCAAGAATAAATGAGGTGGAGATTCATCTATTGTATGTGCCATTTGTGGTAACATTTTATTTACAGTGTGCTCTCACCACTATTTATTGTATACAAAATTTAACCAAGAGAGGAAAAAACTAAAGTAGCAGTAAAAAAAAAAAATATATATATATAATATATATTTTAAATATAGAATACATAAATATTTTAATGTATATTTTTTACCGATCCTCTTTGTTACCTTGTTATTGCTCACTTCTCACAAATCAACATTTATTGATTGTACCCTAGCCATCAATCATCATTTTTCCCATTAATCATCTCTTTTTTAATGCCATGGGCAGAATTCAGAATCATGAATCAAAGCAAAATGCACGGCCATTGCATCTTTTGTTTGGTTTGTGATACAGCTTCAGCGTTTGATAATTTGAATGATCACCCGATCGGCCCAAATTTGGTTGAATTGCAGTTCTGAACTAAATGAATCTCCAAGTCTAGTGTCTATTTTCTTCTAAACAAAAGTGAAGTTTGTTAATTTAATGCATTTCGCTGTCAGTGTTTGGGACGAGTCATCAATTGTTTTCGAGCCTTGTCATAAAGAGGGTTAAATTCTTACATACAGCATTGATAGAGAACATCTGTTATGAAACTAAAAACCTGGGAGGCTGTAGAAACAAAATACTACTGTTGAAAAGGAAAAAAAATATAAGTCTGGTTGTACAACCATCTCAATCAATGGATACAAGGAGAGCTGTGGTATAGCATGAGTAGGCTAGTCAGTAGGTACTAGACAAGAATCAGGTGTCTGGTATATATGTACAAGGATAGAGAGGACAAGATATGGAAATATGAAGTCAGGAAGTAGAAAAAATGGCATTGTTGAGCAAACCATTCTTCATGAAGTATGAACATCGGAATATCAGCAATATTTGGAGCTCACCAGATAGTTTAGGGGACATTGTAGCTTATAAGATATGCAGTTATTTCATGTTTATACAAAGGCAAAGGACCAATTCACTAGGATAATGGTGTCACATTGCCAGCAGTTCTGCCATCTAAGAGACTTCATACGACCACCACCTAGCATTCAAAAAGTGAGTTTGAAGCTGAGTTTTGTCCACCAGAGTATTTTCTCTCTGGTTCCATACATATTTTTCTGCACACCTCATACAGATACAAATGAGGGACACATGATGAAGGCCTAAATATATCTGCTTTTTGAAGTGTAAGGTATTCTTTCCTGGTTCTGAGTCTGCGTTATTTATACCTTTTAAATCTAGATATTTCTAAAGACCAGTAACAATTATATTTTATCACTTTTATTTGCTATCTGCACTAAGGAATCCGTGATTCTGGTGCTCCTTACAAAACCACACTAATCAGCACTGTGATCTGTGAAAAAGGTCTAGATTATGAGGTAAGTGGCCCTGACATTTGAGAACACAATACATTTGTGCCATATTATTGTAAATAGTGAAAATGAGAAAGGAATGAAAAAAGGGGAAAAATAATAATAAAATGGTGTATCAATTTCAGCATTGCATTTATTTGAGAATCATATGTTAGAAATGTGGTTTCAATAAAGATATTGTGGAGTGAATGGTAGCAAGAGCGGTCCTGCTTTCTATTATACAGAATAATTGATTTTTAAACTGACTTCTTATGTTACACAAGAAAAAGAAAGGTTAACTTGTCATCAAACCTTGGACCAGATGGCAAAGAAAATGGGTATCGGCCTGTTTGCATACCTGAAGTAATTTCCATTTAGCTGATACAAAAGCAAATAATTGCTTGAATTAATGTGGCTTCTAATCGGAATTGAGGAATGAAATGTAATGTTCTTATGTACAATTTAAATGACTTTACTTTCATCACTTTTGTTTGAATTAGACTTAAGTAATAAATAATGTGGTTCTATAAATTCACAAATTATGTGAACACTTGTTGACCTTTCAAACCATTTCTTGGATTTAGTTTAAGTTGTGCTAAATGCTTCTGCATTTTTTTACAGTTAGAGACTACAAGAGAAATTACTCGTTGCCAATTTCAGAAATTCTCTGACAATGTATTAATCAACCGATTTACTCCATCCCCTATGCCATTTTTAACTACAAAATAATACTCAATCTGTTCTTAATTATGCATTGTTGATGGAATTGCAGTGATGCACGTTAGGGTACTGGTTGAAGGTTTTTGATCTAATAAATCATATCTTGTATTTCATTTGAATAATGGAATTCGATTTGGCTATATTAGTGTGTTTAGAAAAGTGTTGTAGTTTTAATATTTGAAATTATATTGGCTGTTTTGGGTTTTACTATTTGGAAAAAAAATTTTATTTTTCTGCTAGACACAAGATGTTTTTACTCAATAAATCTGAATTTCAGATAAAGGAAATATCTGAAATGCCAGCATTGACATGGGGATAATATATTAAAGTTTATGGACCGGTCAGTTGCTGTAACCAACAGTTTTTATGAATTCTGTTGCTACCAACTCAGTTGTTAAAAGTTTTACAACTCCTGCACTGAATCATTCATGACTAGGTAGATGTCTAAGAGATTATGTTGCTACCCTTTATGTACATCTGGTAAGAGAAGACTTTAATTTATGAAGTTGATAAATAAAGAGGTTGAATCTCTATTTTATGATGACTACTAAGTACTCAACTGCTGGGTGACTTACGGCACACATACAACTTGATTTCGACTCTCCTGGTCTTGTTTTTGTATGACTGTATCATTTTTTTCCTTCTATTCTTACTGTAACTTAATCATGCTTGCTTACATGATATCATGAGTAGCATAAGCTATTATACAGTAATACATTTTGTTGGTTTCGATTTTATAACTGAAAATCATAATAAGGAACATAATTTATTGTCATAACTTCCAAATATAGTATTTATGTGTTCACAGCTACATAGAAACAATTGTTTGTAATACATAGAACATTTTTTTCATAGAACAAAATATTTATTAAGGTGTTTGTTATCTAATTTTTGCATGTTCAATATTCATGAGAGCCACATATGGCTTCAAATAAAAAAAAAAAGTATTGATATGAAGCAGTCCACTGTGATAAGTTAATAGGTTACTCTAACCATTAGTGGTCATGGTGCGTGGAGTCTGTATACACAGCGTTTAGCTCTGAAATGTTGCACATATGAAGTTTAACCCATTTACTGCTAGAGGTGGAGTTACAGTGGGGCATCATTAATCATTAAAGCCCGTCTGGAAAATGGCTGATGTCAATTCTGTGCATAATCATTGGCATAGAATTGCATTCATTGGCTGAGAGTGCTCAGCTGATGCTCTCAGCCAATGAGCATCACAGCACGCAAGAGATGACCCTTGGTGCTCTGCATGAACAGGTAAAAGGACAAACTATTGAATAAATATATGTCCTATTACCAGGAAACATGGTCAGGGTGCACTTGGCTTCATAACCACTACAGCAGGTAAAAGTGAAGTGGAAGAAAAGGGCTAAAACTAGAATAGAAGGTCCAATAGGTATTAGCATATTTTTCAAAAAGTATATCTGGTATTATACAAAAACTTATTTTTCTTTTTGCTTTATCAAATTCTCCCCGAAATATCCCCGAAGTTCATTATCACCATCTCAAGCATTGATAAATAATATTATAAATAAATATGTAACGTTTAAAATCTGTTATATTGTGTTTCTGTTGGAAATTGTTCAGAATATAAAGTCAGATGGAGAATATCTCTCTGTATTACTGTTGTGTTGGCTAATTTCAAAGGTATATTGAATTCTTCTGACTACTGCTATCTCTAGTAATCAGCACTACGTAAAAAAGAAAACAGTAATTAATATATCTTTCCAATGTTTCAGCTGGATATTAAACACATGTCAAATCCTATATAGTCTTAATATTGCTGCTGATTTAATATTCATTGATCGCACTAACCCCTTTTATGACAGATGTACCCACACTGCCACAATATCATAGGTTTGCCTTACCATTTGCCCTGAAAGGACTACAAATTGATCATTATAACTTTTTAACAAGCATAAAATAATTAAAATATCGC